ATCAGTGGTAAAAGTTTTTCTCACGTCAAACGACACTTTACATTTTATCCTTAAATACGTCAGTAATGGAAAACATTACTATTTGCTTACATGAGTAATAGTCCCAGCAGAATCTCTTTTTTTTTTTTTTGATTCTCTGTGACTATTAAACATTACATCAGAATAAGAGAAAAACTTCCATAACTGATCATTTCTTCACATGAAACTCGTATACTACAGCCAAGAGGCTCTCTTTTTCTCATTAATCAGATCATTATTATCAGAATCCACATTTTAAATACTTGGCTTTTCTTCTGTTTAAATTAATTGTGCCCTTTTCCCCGCCCCCGGGGGATATAGAAGGTTTTATTATCCTATCACTTCTGACCCTAACTATCCCTATCTCTCTAATCCTATTTATCTAAACAGTTGTGCCTCTTTTGCACTTATACCCCTGTGGCTCTTTTCATCATCTGTTTTGTTTTTTAAGGAGGGACCAATGCTTCCCCCAAGGTTAAAACGTCTAAACCTGACTATTGTTCTATCGCGTCCGATAGAACGCCCCGTCACGGCGGTCGCCTGGCCACGCTGCAGTCCGTCGAGCCGAATTCTCTCTCTCTCTTCCATTTAAAACAATGTGCAGATTTTCAAAAGTAACGATCCGCTTACCTCTTTCGAAGAGAAGAGAGAAGAGAAGAGAGAATTCTCCCGGCCCACGGACCCAGTCTATATTTGAGCTCATCTCTGTCTTTCCCCTGCACCATCACGTCGGGGGTCTCCAAATGAAGTCAATAATTCCCTTGACTGACGTGTTCGAGTTGATGCAGAGGCATGACAACAGATCTCCAAGTTTTAACATCTGTATTTAATTATCTTTACAATCAGATACAGAAATTCCAACAAAGAGGGCTCCTAAAACTATGCATGTCCCTGGCTCGCCCTCGGCTCATTCTCCTGTGTCCTCTCAAGCCAGAGCATTATCAGTCCATGTTCAGGAAGCAGGGGGCGTGTCGTATCAGGCAGGACTTGGGTCCGGCCTCTTCCATCATGTCCCCTCTGTCTGCCGTACCTTAAACAGAATCATTCACACACACTACCACTCCCCAAATTTATTACTTCTTTGAGATAAGGCAGAAGGCTCTCTGGGTCCCCCTCCTTCAGGATTAGCAGAATCCCCCCCCCCAGATTACCTATCATTAACTCACCCATGCACTTTGGACTAACAAAGGAACATGGGGAAACCAGGTCTTTTTGCTTTAGGAAAAGACAGTTCAAATCAGGGTCAGCCAATATTCACATCTGCATAGTTAAAATATACAACAATATATATCATATTAGAGGTTTTGATGAGTTCCTGGGCGACAGTGGCTCAGTTGGTAGAGAATTGGATTGTCGTCCACCAACTCCCACTGATGTCTGCTGTCGTTGTGTCCTTGGGCAAGACACTTAACCCCACTTTGCCTATAAGTTTATGTTTATGTGTGTGGCATCCAACTGAAATGTCCCTATTGTGGGACGAATAAAGGACCTTCTTCTTCTTCTTCTAATTTGGAAATCCTTTTGTGTGTCATCAAAATGTCAAACAGTTTGTAGATTCGTAAAAAGGGACAGTGTGTCATTCTTTTGTTTTAAATTAGATTTAGATTAGATTTTTAATGTGTCCCCAGATAAAAAGCAACATGTACAAATCTTATGTGACCTTTTCTGAACCATTGAGTTTTATAGGAGAAAATGTATTTGATCATAACATGACTTTTAAATATACTTGAATTTAATAATGCAATGGTTTTTAATGGTAGTTTTTTTAAACACTTAAAGACGCCTCTATTGTAGCTACAGCTGCCCCGGGGCAAACTGACAGAAGTGAGGAAGTCTAAATGTGCCATTGTTCCCTCCGAGCACCACCAGCCAGTCTCATTCAAGGCAATGTGGGTGAAGTGTCTTGCCTAAAGACACAACAATAGTTAGGCTCCACAGTGGCACATGGTTTTAATCAGTGGTCTCCCATCACAGCACCGACCAGGTCATGTTCTGCTTTGCTTCAGAGGTCTGATGGGATCGGGCAGGTGGCATAGAAAACCACATTTGACCCTGTGATCCTCTCAAAATTTCTTTTTCATTGTTGATTCTTGTGATGAAATTAAAGCATTTTGAAATAATTATTCTTCAATAAAAACACAGTGGACATGGTTTTGTGATGTTTATGTTTACAATTTTCATGTAGATTGATTCATAACTAAATTCACAATAACATATACCACCACATAACTGCTTAAAGGAATGCAAAAAAAAAAAACTGGTCATATGTAATACGGAAAATGTGTGCATTGTGTGTCTAAACTCCAGCAGGTGGGGTGCATCAGTAATCTATGCTTAGGAGCTTCATATGTCAGAGGCAGAAGATTCAGGAAACAAAGTGCGACTGCAATTTTAATTTCTTTATTTGACACTAATATTTCATGTTACACACTGTCCCTTAAAGCAGTGGTCTTCAAACTAGTCCTCAAAGGGCCGAGTGATTACAGGTTTTCATTCCAACCAAGCAGGAGCACACCAGACTCCAGAGTTCAGACTTATCCTGACGATTGGGGGAAATCGGTGTAGTCTGTGTATTATAGAGTTCTAGTAATATAAATATAGATATTTTCTAAGTAGACTCTATTGCAGAATACTAATATTACTCTTTTGAAGTGTGAATGTGCTCTTTCCCTGTGGGACTTCCCCTCACATCACTCTGCTGATTCATATTATAACAATAGTGTTTTGCTGACTCAGTGGAATCAGGCCTCATGTTGTACATCACTTGAACGAGACAATGCTTTCTAAGAATCACACCCACAACCCCTCTTGTATCACACTGAGGTCCATCATGTGAGGACTCAGACCAGCTTTACAAATGTCAGGCCAGCTTCTCCATATTTTATATTTTACTTCCTGGTTGTGACCACGTTATAAATTGGGCCAAAACTTTTCTCATGTACTCAAAATTCTTAGTTTCAAATAAATTCATATAAGGATAACTGACCTTGAACAAAGTACCCTTGAGATTACAGAGTCCTGGCCCCAGAGAGAGGGGGCAGGAGTGGAGTCAGGGTGGTTGTAAAGGGGGCCTGGAGCACCCAGAAGAAACCGGAGCAGACACCTGGAGAACATGCAAACTCCACACAGAAAGGCCTGAAGGTGGAATTGAACTCAGGACCTTCTTGTGCGGCTAAATGTAACTGTTTTTAACCTGGATTTGAACCAGACCAGTGGAGGCCAGTGCTCCTCAGAGTCCGAGTTGGTTCATAATATGGCCCAAACATGCCACAGATGTACTTTGGTGCGAGGCCATGGAGACAACTGTGATCATACTGCTTGGTTCTAGTCAGACCTCAAGCTACAGCGTTTTGAATATATTGCAACTGTTTTAAGGTTTACAGTATTCTAACCCACTGGGCGGAAAAGAATCTCCAAGTCTGTTTTAGACAGTATATTTTTTATTCTGGCAATATTTTTCAGATGTTAAAAAGCTGCTCATGTTACTATTTTTCCAATATTACATCCAGATAAAAAAAGAAAAGAAAGAAAGATAGGATTTTTGTGTGTTTCTTCCTAAAGACAGACCCATAAATCAACAATTAAACGGCTACATTTTATTTTGTACTTTGTTTTTACTTTGAATTGATTTCCTGCCGGCACCGGAAGTGTCGTAGTCGCAGTAATGGCGGCCTCCTGTGCGGAGCAGAGACACAACGTGACAAGTCGCTAAAATGAAGATCTGGTCTAATAGAAAGTTTCTCTAACCTCTATAGAACTCACACTCATTTCACAAAGGCCTTCATTTTATGCGTGAGTATCTTTTATAACAATGACTTTAACAACAAGCTAACACGTGAGCGCGTGCATCCCGAGTTTGAACCACGCTAGCTTTGGCCCCAGTCATTTTAACCAACATTAACATAATGAAAATATGATACATTTGTGTGACATTTAGAGAAAAATTGTTTATAATTTACTTTATCTGATGTGGATTCTGCCCATAACAGGATATAGCTGACGTCATATACGGTACAAGTTTACTAAAGCTAGCGGTTTGCAAAGATGTAGGTATTTCCAGATAACTTTACTGTTTTAAGTACATCCCTGCAAACTTCTCCATTGATAGTTACTTTTTTATACTTCTTTTAGCTAAATAGTTTGTTTATATCACTTTGTTTCCTCTTATCTTGTTTCAAAGCTGGGCCACCGGCATTCCTCTTTCATCATAAATAATACTGTTTCTCCCAACATAAAGGGTCATATCTTGTAAGAGCTCTTTCAGTCACTATTTGACGCTGACGGGAAGGGACCACATTTGTCCACTGTCACTTTCAGCCCCTGGCCTCACTATTCCCTTAGGGCAGTTATGCATAGTTAATTATACTTTTTTACACTTATAGTTTCCTCTAAAATGGGTTTATCGTGATGCATATATATACGTTGGTGTTATTCATACTTTTTTTTCAAAGCTTGGTTACCCAAATTTTTGTTTTATCAGTCATTATGTTGATTGTCCTGTCAGAGATTTTTGTAAAAATATGTATTAGAAAACATGTTTCCATTTGCATACTACATAGCCCTGTGAGTCACTATTTGACCCTGAGCTGAGGTAGAGAGGCCCTTTTTTATCTTTCTGTCTGAAATGGCTGATTTAAAGATGAGACGTGGCTAAAAAATGCTTCATTTGCAACTAGTGGTAGAACTAAACTATTTTGAGGAGATGGATAGAGGGGATAGATTTACATATTACATATTTTGTGATTTCAAGTAAAGTTTGAAGCACTCATTACTCTCAATTTTTTGTTTGTATCTCTCACGGTTGACTTTACACAGGTACTTTTCAAATTGGTGGAAAGATAGAATCACAAGACCACAAGAATCAAATTAACTTACCACCATGATTATTAGGAACCATTGTGTTTGTGGATGTAAACTATTTAACGTTCTCTTTCCAGCTTCATAATATTCTGTGGATGTGAGTTTAAAAACAAAAGCCAAAGATGTCTTCATTTAAACCCACAAAAATACCAGTGTATCCCAAACTCGGAGAGAAAGTCACGCAAGAAACCCTCTACTGGAAAGACTACAAGGTGATTACACTGGTATTACCTGACGTTTCGGCTGCTTCTCCTCAGTTCTCATCAGTTTTTTTTGTACTTCTTAGCCTCCTATTCAGATAAAGGAATATGGCGCCATCACAAATATAGATTTCTCTCCTGTGGCTCCGTACAATTTTGCCGTGACCGCATTCACTCGGGTAAGCAGAGAATTACAACTGCTGATGTAATGGCCTGTCATTATTAATAATATAATAATGTTTTGCCGTTTTTAGATCCACATTTATGGACCCTTCTCTCAAGAGCCAGTAAAGACATTCACCAAATTCAAGGACAATGCCTACTGCGGGAGGTTCCGGTCGGACGGACAGCTTCTCGTGGCCGGATGCGAGGACTCGGTGGTGCGACTTTTTGACGTCGCCGGGAAAGTGGCCCTCAGGATGTTCAAAGGGCACTCCAAGTACGTTTCTGCAGTGTGTGAAAATCACGGTTCTATAACTCAAGCTATCAGGGTGTGTGAGGTCGAGTCTGGGTGAAGCCTGGCCTCATTAAGGGGCATATTTATCACGTGTTTGTGTGTGTGCAAAATATATGAATATTTAGGTAAGCACCATACATAGGCATGGATAGAAATGTCAGTAGTTAATTGGACAGACTTTATATCGACCTGTAAAGCATGGTATGAAATGATGATTCCTTGAGTGATCCATCGACTGATTTTGTGATGACCTCAAGATTCTGACCAACAATGCTTCACCAGAACACTGTCATTACCACAGTGCATCATGGTCCAACTTGAGATCAGGGGTTTATTTATCACATGTGTTTGTGTGTGTGCAAAATATATGAACATCTGAACAGAGCGCGGTGAGATAGAATCAAACCACTATAATTGCACACGCTTTTAGTTTACACATGTAGTTTAGCTCCTCGATAATCATAATATACCACTATTGTGATTGAAACAACACTAGATGAAAACTGGGCAAACAGCAAAAAGGCTCAGTGTGGACTGGGTTTACTAAAGTCTATTTTGAAGGATTGCCTATTGCATTCAGGGTTCAATATTTATGGTAAAGTAAAGGGATGTGTTTGTTTTCTTGATACAAAATAGCTTTAAAATATGTATAACATGCCATATTTGTCCACTAGGGGCTACAAGCTTGGCGGCACGGTGGCTGAGTGGATAGCACTCTCGCCTCTCAGCAAGAAGGTCCTGGGTTCGAATCCCGGCCGGACCAGGGCCTTTCTGAGTGGAGTTTGCATGTTCTCCCCGTGTCTGCGTAGGTTTCCTCCGGGTACTCCGGTTTCCCCTACCACTAAAAATATGTACAATAGTTCTGGCATGTGCCTCCTGTTCGGCGACCCCGCTCCCATCTCTGTGTGGAGAGGACAAGTGCCCAAGAATAACAATTGTAAACCGCTTTGTGACTCTGGTCTGTGAAAGGCGGTATATAAATAAAGATTACTTACTTACTTACAAGCTGCATGTTTGAGACCAGTAATAGCAGCAGTATTAGCAGTAGCAGTAGTAGTCACAAGCTGCATGTTTGAGACCAGCAGTAGTAGTAGTAGTAGCAGTATCAGTAGTAGTAGTAATAGCAGCAGTATTAGTAGTAGTAGCAGTATCAGTAGTAGGGGTGCAACGGTTTGAAAAAATCACGGTTCGGTTCGTACCTCGGTTCAGAGGCCACGGTTCGGTTCATTTTTCGGTTCATTTTTCTAAAAAAAAGTTTTGTCTTTTTAATAAACACAGCTCATGTGGACTCTGCACCTGCTCTGACTGCCCCCCCTGACCTAGAAATGAATTAAGGGGAAGGAAATGGATGGATGGATGGAAGGCATATTCCATCCATCCAATTATGTCTATTTAACATAATTAATGAAAAACAACACAAAGTGCAACATAAGAAGGCACTTTATGAGGATATTTACCCTCATATATTACACCACCTTTCCGATTCTCCCAAGGAGGGGGTCCATTCTGGGCCCAGCCTCATTCACTGCATTTATTTAATTTTTGGCATTATCAGTTGTGACTGGGATATTAGTACTGGGCCTTTGTCTTCCATTCCTCCACTGCTTGTGTCAGTACCTGCGCTGTGTGACAGTGTGACTGTCGTAGAGGGGGCGTGTCTGCAGCGCCAGACTTTTCATCTCCCAGTCTGCGGTGATGAAGTGAGCGGTTCCGCTCATGGATCTATTATAGGTTCCGCGGGACGTCCAAGCGTCAGTCGTGAGCGCAGCTGAGGATGCGCGGGAGAGTTGACTTTAGCCTGGTCTGACTGTGCGTAAAGGAACTGCTTAAATGCCGCGACAATAAGCGGTCATTGAGACGCTTTTTTCACTCATGTCTTTCTTGTGCCACAGTGCTTACACATCGTGACAGTTTTGTCGAATATTAATTATCAGTGTAGTTACAGTGAAGCCAAAATGCTCTCATACTGGGGATTTAAATGACGCGGGGCTTTCAAGCTCCTCCGTTCCTCCGCTCGCAATGACCGCGCTGTGTGTGGACTGAACAACGTGCGCACAACTTTTTTTTCATAAATCAAACCGCGGATCACGTCTGTACCGAACCGAAGACGTTGAACCGAACGGATCACGGATCAGTGATGAACCGTTGCACCTCTAATCAGTAGTAGTAATGGCAGCAGTATTAGTAGTAGTAGTCACCAGCTGCATTTTTTTGAGACCGGCATTAGTAGCAGTTGTAGCAGTAGTAGTCACAGGCTGCATGTTTTAGAGCAGTAGTGTAAAATCTGAGTCTGTGGATTCCAAATAAGTCGTATCTTTGCTTGTGTCTTTGCTTCAGGGCGGTGCATGTGACGGACTTCACCTCAGACCGGTACCACATCCTCACTGGATCGGACGACTCCACCTGTCGCCTCTGGGACGTCCCGAACTCCGTCGAGCTCTCGTCGTACAAGGAGCACACAGACTACATCCGCTGCGGTGTGGCCAGCAAACTCAACAGCAATCTCCTAATAACAGGTTAGAAATGAACGGTGGTAGTTAGCGAACCGCAAAGACTGCTGCTACGAATCTGCTGGAGAACATTTTCTATTTTTTTGATGAAGATTTATGTATTTACTACAAAAATCAAGCCAAAAATTTAAAATATGAATTCACAACTCTCGCTTTTCTTTACCAATGTAATTTGTCAATGTTTCTCCCTGTATCTGTGTCGGTTTTCTCTGGGTGTTCCCGTTCGCCTACCATTAAAAACATGTACAATACTTCTAGCATGCGCCTCCTGTACTCCCATGTGTGGAGTGAGAGACAGATGCCCACAATTGTAAAGCGTTTTGTGACTCTGGTCTGTTATAGGCGCCAAATAAATTACTTATTGTTTCCAGAGCATTTCCCACTCTCCCCTTTTAAGCTTGACCCTAACCCTAATCTTAGCAACTGGGCTCTTATTTTGTCGACCAATAATGAAGCCCTGTAACAGACTTTTTTGCCAGATTGTTTCGACTCTTTCGGAGCCTCAGAGATGGCTCATACTAGCTTATAACACTGACATCTAGTGGACAAATGTAATCATTGTAGCTTTTGAATACTGCACAACAATCACTGCACCGCTTTTAATAATAATTACTAGATTGCTAGATAACACTTAATTGTAAAAAAATCAATTGATGAGACAATACCTTGTTAGGTTGAATAAGATAAAAAACCATGGATCTCTCTTTCAGATGCCACTACCAATAATGTATCTAATGGATCTAAAATCTAAATGCATTCTTTGGCATCGCAATGTTAATCGGAAAAAATGCAAAGAATGTTGTCCTGAACAAGTGACTGAAGTGTTGTGTGTCTTCAGGGTCCTATGATCACACACTGAAGGTCTTTGACACCAGAACAGACAAGAGCGTGATCACCATGGACCACGGTCAGCCGGTGGAGAGCCTCCTCCTCTACCCCTCTGAAGGACTCCTCGTTTCAGCAGGTAAAACACAATAATAATACTGTTTTTGAACTGTAATATAGTGTTCTTGTTCCCTTATCTTGTGCTGTGTGCTCCTCATTCCAACTGTTCTGTAACTGGTGATGCAACACTGAAATTTCCCCACGGTGGGACCATTACAAAACATCAACTTTGTTTTTAAGTCTTGTGGTATCCTAGCATCAAATTTACCCTTCACAATTTTGATATTTCCGTCATTGACCATTGTTAGACCATAATTTAGATATTTGTCTTCAACTTTTAATCATCTATGGTGGGTAAATTTGACCCGAGATTAGCTCAAGTGTTAAAATAGCCGTTTTTTTCCCCCCAGGAGGCCGCTATGTAAAAGTGTGGGATCTCCTTAAAGCGGGCCAGCCCCTCGTCTCACTGAAAAACCACCACAAAACCGTCACCTGCTTATGTCTCAGCAGTAACGGGCAAAGACTACTCTCTGGTTCACTGGACAGGTGGAGTACTCTGCAGTCATCATCAATACATCACCAGTTACACACAGATTCATTTAAACTTTGTTTTTCAGGCATGTCAAGGTGTACAACACAACAACATACAAAGTTGTTCACAATTTTGACTACGCTGCCTCCATCCTCAGTCTCGGCTTGGCGGTAAGTAATGTGGTTTTTTATTTATTGTTATTTTTTGGACAATACCATAGACTGTTTATAGATGGACAATGCCTACTGGGCTTCATGGAGCTAGCCCAGTAGGGAAAGTGTTCAACTTTTGCTCCAACTCGCTCTGGCTCCCATTGACTTGCATTGATAAGTAACCTCCTAGCTAAGTAACAGTTTGCGTCACACTCACCATTTTGGGGTTAAAAATGTGTAGTTTAGCGCTCTCTATGATCCTGGTGTTTACTACCCACAATGCCGTGCAGTCGAGCCGGAAGCTCGGAACTCTTGATGCATGTATACAAACTAACTTTCCTTGCCTGATATGGATGCATACTTGTAAGACAATGTCCGATAAGAGAGCAGATCTTGCCAGAATGCACATGAAAACTAGTGATGGAACTGGTTTGAGATTCAGAAAGTAATTTTATGGCTGTAACTTATTCATGAAATGACATAACAGAACTTTCAAGTCATAGTTCCGTTGTCTATGGATTAAAAGTTTTGTTCCCAGCATTAAGTCGCAATCACAAACGAGTGACAAAGTTCATGAAAACAAAATAAAATAGTCAAACAAAGCCTCTGTCTATTTGACCGTAGTTGCTTATTCTGATTTAGATAGATTAAAAGACACCCATCTTTAAATGTGAAAGATTTTGTAATAATTATGTTTATCAATCTCACTTTAGGTTTAGGGCGCTAATCCTACAAAAAGTGCTTCCAGTTAAAAAAAATAAACTTTAATATCCTAATCACTGCATTAAAAAGAATGAAGATTGAAAGCACATTGTTGAACATTGTCAGAGTAGAAGCCTGTCTCACATTATCAGGCAGACTGTTTGAGTGACACTGACTCTGGGCCTCCTGCTGTTACCTCCCCACTGCCCTCTGCTGGTGGAGGCGTACACTTCACCCTCAGTCAGTTCACTTAAACCGGTGCATTTGTTTTTCTCCTCCAAACAGAGTCCACTTGACCGAAAAGCGAGAATGCTCATAGACTTAGGCCGTTAATAATAATTTTCATGCACAAATGACTTTTTTTTTTTTTTCCCTACAGCCAAACGACGAGTCTATTGTTGTGGGAATGACCAATGGGATCCTCAGCATTAAGCACAGAAAAGGCCCTGAAGACTCCAAACCGGGTCCAAGTCTGCAGAGAAGGCGACCGACCTACCGCGTTTTTGTGAAGGGCAAGAACTTCATCCCCAAACAGGCAAGTGCCCAACGATAATGCATTAGGACATATACTGCTGTTACGCGTTTTTAAATACTTTGTACTGGTTTTACTCTCTATTAGGAGGACTATCTGGTCAGTAAACACGTGAAGGAGCACCTGGCCAAACACGACAAGCAGCTGAAGAAGTTTAACGTGTCTAAAGCGCTGGATTCAGCTTTGGAGGTAAGAAGTGAAATTATGCAGCACGTTTTACAGCCGGGTGATAAGGCTGATAACTAAATTGTCATATAAGTGATTCATAACGGGGAATATCAATAATTATGGATGGGTTTTTTGTGCAACTTAAATAAATACATTAGTTGTGACGGCGAACACGTTAGCAGCACTTGTTCACAATCACGGGGGATTGTGTCCATTGTCATTCCTGGTTTAATTCTGGTTAAATCCTGGTTTAGCTCCTGTTTTGTCTGTTTTCGAGTGTCTTCAGTCTTCTTGTGTTTATTTGGGCATCTAGAAGATACGAAATCAATTATATGAAAGAGAAGCACAGAAAACTGAATTGAGTCGCCGCCCACTGCCTCTGCGCCGCACATGCTATTCCTCGCACGGATTTGTGCATCACCATTGACCCGGCATTAAAACACGATGCATGTTCTGGTTGTTGGTGGTTTTTCTTTTTTTTTTTTTTTCACTTCAAATTAAGGCTTTAAAACCTCAAAGCATTCTGGGAACATAGTTAAGATGATTTCAAATCGCACCAATGCATTTCAGCTACCTGCCGCTCTGTGTTTTTACATCATCATAGTCGGGGTGAGCAAATCTTTTAGTAAGAGATTTGCACAGAGGCACTCAGGTTTCAGAGAACATAGACTCTGAATGAAACTACTTCTACTGTATTTGAGCTGCTCTGACCTCTCCATACGCCGTTTCACACCACAGCCATACTAGTGCATTTTTGTGACTCAATCAAAAACATGTACAAATAAAGTTAATGCCGGCTGAATTCCAAAGGTTCTGAGCTATACAATGAGGCACAGCATGATATTGTTGGTGAAGCTGAAGTTGGCTGCATGACGCCATGAAACGCGCCTCAATGGCAACTTAGTCAGTGAGGCAGAGGGCCACATAACATGACCCTGGGCCGCATTTGGCCTGTGGGCCTTAGTTTGGACATAATAATATGTCCAAATACATTAAATATGTATTATTATGAAGTTTCCAAACGTGTGCTTATACAGTATATATTCTTGCGTTTAGAATTGCTGTTCCAAAGTTTGAGGGCTAAGGCAAAAGTTACGAAGCTTCACAAGGCTCATTCTGATCAGCTCCCTGCATGTAGACCGGCACCAGACCGTCAGACTGATTTGGGAGCAACACAAGGATAGTGATCTTATTGAGCAAACGCCACATCCCCATGCTTTTTAAACATACTCTTTTAAAGGTGACAAAATGATTATTGAAAGTGTGACTAATTTCACGTCTGTTTAGGCAAATAAAAGAACCAGGAAGCCTGAGATCACGGTCGCTGTCCTGAAGGAGTTGGATCGAAGAGGGAAGTTGAGGAATGCTCTCGCTGGAAGAGACGAACACGGACTTTCGCTGTTGCTGAGTTTCCTCATCGGGTAAGAACTCTCGATGCTCAGAACGGCACAATACTGCATCAACGTTATCTCTGAACCTTTATGTGTGAAGAAACATAGCAAAAATAAAACATGATGTATACAAAAAATGTCATTAAATACCAGTAATATGAAATGTAAAAAAGTAAACGATTCAAATAAAACGCAAAAGACCACTTGACTCACACAGTGTTAAAAGCCAGAGAGTAAGAGTGTGTCTTAAGACGAGACAGAGGAGGAGACAAAGGTTAGAAGAGAACGAAGAGAAAGTTCCATTGGGTGGCACTGTGGATAGCTGATTCTGGGTTTGATTGCACCTCCCAGGACCTTTCTGTGTGGAGTTTGCATGTTCTCCCTGTGTCTGTATAGTTCTCTCCAGGGACTTTGGTTTCCCCTGCCACTAAAAACAAGTACGATAGGTGAGGGTTGACTATGTGTTTGAGAGTGTGACTCTGGGATTACAGATGGACCATAACTACTTGCTTAGCTACAAACTGGTGAATTTATAGTTATTCATGAATACGCACCGTCTCAAATAAAATTAATTATAATTTATTTAACTTTTCGTGGCTCGGTCTGCTCCCAGAAGTTCAGGGGAAACTTAATCTTTATTTTTGCTACCCGATCTCCCTATAGTCATTAGTCATTAGTTATTTGTTTGATTTATTCGTGTCCTTTGTGTCCGCTGTAGTCACCTGGTGGACCAAAGATTCGCTCCTGTCCTGGTGATGACCGCCGACATGATCCTGGACATCTACGGCTCCACCGTGGGCCAGTCGCCGCTGATCGACCGGCAGCTGCTGCACTTGCAAGAGCTGCTCGAGCGCGAGATCAACTACGAGCAAGACCTGCTGGCGGTGCTCGGCATGCTGGACACTCTCTTTGCCTGCGGCGTGCCCAAACAGGAGGTCCCGAGATCGGGCACCAGCCGACCGAACGGGCTGGAAGAACCTAAAACGACAGCTCAAACGGCAGCCTCGTGAATGGGGACATGGACACATATTAAAACACAGATCAAAATCCATAAATATAACTATACGACAAAGACATGGGTAACTCTCCTTCAGACGTATGTACAGCGGATACATAGACACGTGTGAGAATATTGTATTTGGATACTTTTGATATAATTGTATGAGTAAATGTTTTAATATGGCGTTGTTTTGAATGAAATGAACTGTATGAATGAAGCCAGTGTGTCTGTAACTTCGCAAATGTTTTGTAAGTGATTAAAAAACATGGGTGAGTAAACAGGCCGCCTGCGCACATGTGTTTGGTGTGAGGTGTTTCTTTTGAATGTTAAGACTCCAACTATTATGAAACTGCTCCTTATTGTGATTATTATTATTATGAAAGACCTCCCTGCTGTCATTCACACCAATTGGGTTCTGAGTTTTGCCCAATATTTCTGTTTTTCACCAGATTTATTAAAAGTAAATGATGTGTAAGGTTTGTTTTAACCTTTACTCACTTTTAATACGCGTTAAATGTGGTTAATACTGATAAACGTCAAAACCAGTTTAATGGAGGGCTAATGCTAAAGACAAAATGCTAACTACACGTAGTAAATGATCTGTTGCTATGGTAATTAGCAGTCGCCCTTGAACCAGTCCAGGACCAGCACATTGACCACAAATTGTCCAATTTATTCAAACCTCACGCTTGAAAAATATCATGTATATTAAATGCTATAACTTTAACTGAATGTTATACATAATTAAAATAGCTTCTAAAAAATACCTTAAACTTTGATATATAAAAAAAACACTAAATATTGAAACAGAATGTCAGTTATGAAGACCAAAAAGATTAGGGTTAAGGTTAGACTGAGTATAACACTTCCTAAAGCTTCCAAATTGACTGCCCAAGTTCTAGTGCTCAGTTCTTTATTATAATAAATCCATTTGTTTTAGTCGCTTCCGTCTTCTCCCTGTGACATTCCTATTGTAGCATTTGTTTCTGATTTTGAATCGGACACACCATACATCATGTACCATCAATATCTACCAGTTTTGTCCATTATCTATAATTATCAAGTGGAATTTTATTTACCACTGTTGCTATTCTGCCGTCTTCCTCCAGAGGGCGGTAGAGCCAGCGCTGTTGGTCACAAGCAAAGGTCGTGATCTGATTGGTTTGTGATAATATTGGACTGAACTCAGACCAGAGACCAGTATCACTCCCGGACTCGCGGCTTTCCGATATGGATCTATCAGAATAACGCCCTCAGACCCCCGGACCACAGTCACAGAGGCTACCGGACCAGACCAGACCAGACCAGACCGGACCATAGTCACAGAGGCTCTTATCCCTGACCACAGTCTCTCAGACCAGTCCACAGTCAGTCTCTCAGACCCTCAGACCAGTCCACAGTCCACAGTCCTCCAGCCCCACAGGATGCCCCGCGTGCAGCCTCTCACCTCTACATACGGGTCTTAAACTTGTGGCGCACGTGGACATGAGCAGCTGTTTTTATTCCTCATTATAAAAACAGGTAAGTGACCCTCAAATACTTTAACTTAGATTACAGCTTATTAGTGATAAAGTTTTGGTTAAATTAACTAAACCGAATATTTAACATAATGCTAATTGCTTTGTTATTTCCTCTGTTAGATATTTAGTAAAACAGGGAAATTTACAGCAGAAAAATGAATAAGGCAAGAGTTGTTACGTTTTACGGTCAAATGCTAGTTTTTCGCCATAATTTTGAGTTTCTGACAGACTTTTTTCAACCCCCCATGAGTTGTATTGTTATATTTTCAAATCATAAAATAATGAGCTGTTCTGAAAAGTTTTTTTTAGATGGCACCTTAACAAGAGCCCAAAGTGCCATACTCTTTATCATCACTGAGTATAAAACCGTTCATGCAAGGCGACACAGGAATTTACAGGAACTAGAAGATATTCGCCAAGGAGAATGGGAAGTTGGGTTACACAGCTTGGGCTCTGGAACCCAACTCCTTGAGAGGGGTTGGACGCTCCACTTTTCTGGTGTTTCCCGCGGGGAGAGGCGGCGAGCTGGGGTGGCCATTCTCATTGCCCCCCATCTCAGCCGCCACGTGTTGGAGTTCTCCCCGGTGAATGAGAGGGTCGCGTCCCTCCGCCTCCGGGTGGGGGACAAGTCTCTCACTGTTGTGACGGCCTACGGGCCTAACAGCAGTGCAGAGTACCCGGCCTTCTTGGAGTCCTTGGGAGGGGTACTGGACGGTGCACCGCCCGGGGACTCCGTTATTCTCCTGGGGGACTTCAACGCCCATGTGGGAAACGCCAGTGACACTTGGAGAGGGGTGATCGGGAAGAGCGGCCCCCCTGATCTGAACCCGAGCGGTGTTCAGTTGTTGGACTTCTGTGCCAGTCGCGGTTTGTCCATCACGAACACCATGTTCGAGCACAAGGGTGTCCACCAGTGCACGTGGCACCAGGACACCCTAGGCCGGAGGTCGATGATCGACTTTGTTGTCGTATCATCTGACCTTCGACCGCGTGTCTCGGACACTCGGGTAAAGAGAGGGGCGGAGCTGTCAACCGATCATCACCTGGTCGTGAGTTGGATCCGCTGGCAGGGGAAGAAGCCGGTCAGACCTGGCAGACCCAAGCGTATAGTGAGGGTCTGCTGGGAACGTCTCGCTGAGCCCCCTGTCAGACGGACTTTCAACTCACACCTCCGGGAGAGTTTCTCCCAGGTCCCGGTGGAGGAGGGGGACATGGAGTCCGAGTGGACCATGTTCTCTGCCTCAATCGCCGATGCGGCGGCCCGTAGCTGTGGTCGCAAGGTCTCTGGTGCTGGTCCCGGCGGCAACCCCCGAACCCGGTGGTGGACACCGGCAGTAAGGGAAGCTGTCAGGCTGAAGAAGGAGTCCTATCGAGCCATGATGGTTCGGGGGACTCCTGAGGCAGCTGTCCAGTACCGGCAGGCCAAGCGTGCCGCGGCCCTGGGCTGTTGCAGAGGCAAAAACCCGGGACTGGGAGGAGTTCGGAGAGTCCATGGAGCATGACTATCGGTCGGCCTCAAAGAAATTCTGGCAAACCGTCCGGCGCCTCAGGAGGGGGAAGCAGTTCTTTGCCAACACCATGTACGGTGCGGGTGGAGAGCTGCTGACCTCGACGGGGGATATTGTCGGGCGGTGGAAGGAATACTTTGAGGTTCTCCTCAATCCCCCCGTCACGTCCTCTGTCTCAGAGGCAGAGGCTGAGGATGCTGGGGCGGATACATCCATCTCCCTGGCTGAGGTCACCAAGGGGGTTGGCAGCCTCCATGGTGGCAAGGCTCCGGGTGTGGATGAGATCCGCCCTGATTATCTAAAGTCTCTGGATGTTGTAGGACTGTCTTGGCTGACACGTCTCTGCAACATCGCGTGGCGATCGGGGGCGGTGCCAATGGAGTGGCAGACCGGGGTGGTGGTCCCTCTCTATAAGAAGGGGGACCGGAGGGTGTGTTCCAATTATCGTGGGATCACACTCCTCAGCCTCCCCGGTAAGGTCTACTCCAAGGTACTGGAGAGGAGGCTACGGCCGATGGTCGAATCTCGGATCCAGGAGGAGCAGTGTGGTTTTCGTCCCGGTCGCGGAACACTGGACCAGCTCTATACTCTCCATCGGATACTCGAGGGTTCATGGGAGTTTGCCCAACCTGTCCACATGTGCTTTGTGGATTTGGAGAAGGCGTTCGACTGTGTTCCCCGGGGTGTCCTTTGGGGGGTTCTCCGGGAGTACGGGGTCGGGGGTCCTCTGCTGAGGGCCGTCCGGTCCCTGTATGACCGGAGCCAGAGCTGTGTTCGCATTGCCGGCAGTAAGTCAGACCTGTTCCCGGTGAATGTTGGCCTCCGACAGGGCTGCCCTTTGTCACCGGTTCTGTTCACTGTATTTATGGACAGAATATCTAGGCGCAGCCAGGGGTCGGAGGGGGTCCGGTTCGGGGACCACAGGATTTCATCTCTGCTGTTTGCGGACGATGTTGTCCTGTTGGCTCCAACGAACCAGGACCTGCAGCATTCACTGGGACGGTTTGCAGCCGAGTGTGAAGCGGCTGGGATGAGAATCAGCACCTCCAAATCTGAGGCCATGGTGCTCGACCGGAAAAAGGTGCCCTGCCCTCTTCAGGTGGGTGGAGAGGTCCTTCCTCAAGTGGAGGAGTTCAAGTATCTCGGGGTCTTGTTCACGAGTGAGGGAAGAATGGAGCTTGAGATTGACAGGCGGATCGGTGCAGCGTGCGCAGTGATGCGGTCGCTGTATCGGACCGTTGTGGTAAAGAGGGAGCTGAGCCGAAAGGCTAAGCTCTCGATTTACCGGTCAATCTTCGTTCCCTCCCTCACCTATGGTCATGAGCTTTGGGTAATGACCGAAAGAACGAGATCGCGGATACAAGCGGTCGAAATGAGCTTCCTCCGCAGAGTGGCTGGGCGCTCCCTTAGAGATAGGGTGAGGAGCTCAGTCACACCGGAGGAGCTCGGAGTAGAGCCGCTGCTTCTCCACGTCGAGAGGAACCAGTTGAGGTGGCTCGGGCATCTGTTCCGGATGCCTCCTGGACGCCTCCCTGGGGAGGTGTTCCGGGCACGTCCCACCGGGAGGAGGCCCCGCGGAAGACCTAGGACACGCTGGAGGGACTATGTCTCTCAGCTGGCCTGGGAACGCCTTGGGGTCCCCCCGGACGAGCTGGAGGAAGTGTGTGTGGATAGGGAAGTCTGGGCGTCTCTGCTTAGACTGCTGCCCCCGCGACCCGGCAACGGATGAGGCGGAAGAAAATGGATGGATGGATGGAGAATGGGAAGTTGTAAAAGTATACCACAGAGAGAGACTAGAGAGAGAGAGAGAGAGACCAGAGAGACCAGGCTTATGGCTTCTCAGCTAGAAGTTTTCGGGTCGGAAAAGGCGTGGGGTTTTCATGTTCTCCCCATGTCTGCGCAGGTCTCCGGGTGCTCCGGTTTCACCCTTCCACATGTAGATATTTATGGCTTGTGTGCACTGGGGTGTTCAGTTCAGAGGAGGACTAAACACTGTCTTCTCGTAGCCCTCAGTCCTGCAGTAGTATTTTACAGTGTATGCACGGCTTTTGACAGCTGCAGCAGCGCTCAGACCTACAACATTTATATCTCTCTCTGGTCTCTCGCTCTGGTCTCTCTCTCTGGTCTCTCTCTCTTCAGCAGTCGTGAGTTTAGGTGGTTAGAAAAGTGTGAGGAGGTTCACAGCCTTAAAACATACAGACTACTACTACTACTACACGGATTTAACTTATTGTGGATTATATTTTGAACATGTCCAGAGAGAGTGAGAGAGCAGAGTGAGAGAGCAGAGTGAGAGAGCAGAGTGAGAGAGCAGAGTGAGAGAGCAGAGAGTGAGAGACCAGAGAGTGAGACAACAAAGAAAGAGCAGAGAGACCACCAGACCAGAGAGAGACCCGAGAGCGAGACTCCTCATAGAGTGAGACCCGAGTGTGAGACACCAAAGAAAGAGACCAGAGAGAGTTGAGAGAGACCAAATGTCAATAGAACAGCAAATGTCCCACACTTCTAATGTTAAATCAATTTTTCAGTTAAAATGTCCGTTTTATTCCAACATTTCTGATTCAAATCTCTTCAAAGTGCACATCTGAAAGACACTGGAGTTAATTTGTTGGATTATGTAACCGTGGCATCCACAATTATAGTGGTGGATCAAAGCGTTGCCCCTGTCTTGTCTTATCCGCGGATCTCTGCGTTTTGGCACCGGATTACGCTTTGCAAACTCTTCTGGATTAGAGAGTTTAAGGATTGGCAGGACACCGAGGTCTCACATGGCTGTTTTCATTCTCTCTGTGCAGCCGAGTCCTGATGGAGCTGAGCCGGAGGAAGGTGCCTCTCTATGTAAGTGTTATTTCATCTCATCATTGAAAGTAAGTTAGCTTTGTGCATTTTTGGGAGAAGAAAGTGAGACTCTGATAAAGACTGTTCCAGAAAGATTGAGGAAAATATGGAAAGTAACAAAAACCTCCCACTTTCACTATTTCTTCATAATTTTTTTATTACTATTGCTATATTTATTTTATTATCTATGTATTCATGTATTTATTTATTTATCATTATTACTATTATTATTGTTACTTTCCTTTGTTTCCTTCGATATTTCCTTCGTTTAAATGTATGTGTGACCAACATGCACAATATCAAAATGGCCGTGCGTGGCCCCTCCCTCAGGAAATTGTGGAAAAAAAACAAATTTGCGCCTGCGTTTGCTGCACGAGCCTGGACACGGCAAAACTAGACTGTTCCAAAATTAAATACTCCCCTCACCATTGCATTTACAACATCTGTCAATGCAGAAAACTTGGGCCAGGATACGACTTTTGGACCATCCTGTAGAGCTGTTTTCGGGAGGAAAGAAGTGGTCATAAAAATGAATTGGATAATTCTGTTTCCGGGTACACCCCCACCGGCAAGGAGTCAGATAAAAGGCATATCAGCGCACATGCTCACGGACACTTTAGAGCCGGGACCAGCCCCCTCTGTTTTTCTTCCGCCAAAAAAGAGAAAGTTCTCGTTACCGTAGCAACACACTGTTTACTAGCAGCAGTTAGCATTTGGTCTTTTGAATGAGCTTTTCTCATGAATTCTTTTGCTGTATTTCAAGTTATATTTATGACCAGTTTGAGGACTTACTAAAGGTGATTACTTCATTTTAATAAAACACTTTTTTGAGACTTTTCCAGGTTCCAAACTCCCGTCACCACAGCAGCACAACACAACAGTCCGCATGATTATAATTTTTATAATAATGTTGTTGTTTTGCTCATGGTTGTGCGTGGGTTACATCACTCTCAGAACACAACAGCGGATCTGTGCCCGAGATCCGCTGGAACAGAATGGTCTGATTGCATTACGTTTTTCCACCAAACAGTCTTCTTATAATGAATAAACTGTGTCATCTATCATCACCACTTGTATATGGCACTCTGCTAACGCCACGCGGATCATTCTGTTTGATCTCACAGCTGTAGTGTTTTGGCTTTTATATTCTCTTTCATCGGATTTGTTTTTATAGATTTTTGAGCCTTTGAACCAGTGTTTTTGACAGTTTACATTTTGACGTGAGCTTTCGTTTGCTTTGGCACTTGTACAATGCATTGGATAATATTATTTCTGCGGCTAATAATAAAGTGGCTATAGCTGAATGTGAAAGCCAGTTCAGTCAGACTTATGAAGCTAAGCAGGGCAGGGGCAGGTTAGTGCTGTGATGAGAGACCTCTGAGATTTCTAGAGACTCAAGAGAGAAATGTCTGAATATTCCTTAACAAATGGTCAAACAACAGGTTAATTCGTTACCTTCTCAATTATATGTTTGTTTAATAGTGTGGCACAACCTACATGTGAAAGCCAGATTCAGTCAGACTTCTGAAGCTAAGCAGGGCAGGGCCTGGTTTGTACTGTGATGGGAGACCTCTGGGAACACCAGGTGCCACAGTGGGGCGGCTGCAAAGTGCCAAACTGTCGTAGTTGACAGACACTTCTCCCACATTGTCTAGATTGAGTCTGGTGTGTGAGAATGGTTGGTGGTGGTGGGAGGGGCTGATGGCACACACTGGTTGCCTCGCTTCTGTCAGTGTGCCCCAGGGCAGCTGTGGCTACATTGAATGGAGTGAGTGAATAATGAACTGTGAAGAGTCTTTGAGTGTCCAAAAAATTGCTATATAAAACTGATGCATCATTATTAATTTCTCATCGAATGGCATCAATCGCAACAACTTATTCTTGTATAGCCCTAAATCACAACAGCAGTCATCTCAGAGGACTTAACAAAACAATTGAAATCACCAACACAGATCAGAGAATCAACAGTTAAGACACAAAATATACACATATGTATTAGTCCATAAGGAGAGACCAATGTCCATGAATGTTGATAAATGTCATACGTGTTGTAGAATATAGAGCACAGTTCATTCACAAAGCAACTAAAAGTATTTAACAAAAGAAGATGGAAACAAACAAGGCAGTAAAATCATAAATAATCACAGCAGATTAAAAAATTAATATATAATCCTTCTGTCGTTGCAACTAAACAGAACTGTTTTTACAGTAAGCTGGATTTCACACGGTCTCACATTTTCAGCAAGACTGTTCCAGATTTTTGCTGAATGAATCTGAAACGCTCTCTCCATGTTTAGTCCTGTTTAGTTTTTGACAGATCAAACATTGATATAAGATTTTGTTTGCTTTGACTCTTACATAACGACATGGATAATATTATTTCTGTGGCTAATTAATCATAAAATGGCATCAAAGGGCGGCTATTCTTTTATGAGTTACAGCATTATTTGTTCGCGTATTGGAGGAGAAAAGCAGTGGGTTTATACAGCAGTAGTAATTAGGTCATGAGCTCCGGGAGCAAAGCTAATGGATGAAATCTGCTGCGTTTTCTCTACACTGTGTCTGCGAAGCGTCTAACGGCTAATCTGTGTGGATCATTAATGTAACAAAAGGGAGAAAGTTGACCTATTTTCTCCAAATCTGGAAGTTTCATCGGAACGAGACCATAGACTGTGTATGAGGAGAGGTCTAAGTGAGTTCTGACGTCAGAGATTGGATAAATTACATCTGTGACATGTTAGTGCCATATGAACCAACTCGGACTCTGAGGAGCACAGGCACTGGCCTCCTACTGAGACTCTGAGGAGCACAGGGACTGGCCTCCTGCTGGGATTCTGAGGAGCACAGGGACTGGCCTCCTGCTGGGATTCTGAGGAGCACAGGGACTGGCCTCCTTTCCTCCTGCAGTGTTTTACATATCGCCCATCCGTAATACATAAAGTGCAAAGACATTGGGCCTCATTCACGAAAGGTTCTTACGAACAAATTTGTGCGTAAATCCTACTTACGAGGATTTTACGAAGAATGTGGCATTCACAAATATTTCTCGTGAGCAGAATTTCTCTTGGGTAAGTACAAATCCTACGAGTGCTCAGGAGCACTCTTACGCACATTCAGTGCCGACATGTTTGCACGCTCGTGTTGTGAAGTTCAATAAAATACAACATTACAGTGATATGTTTGTCATATTGATGTATGTATTTATTTATTTCATTGTTTATGGTAATTTAGTCATTTTTTAAATACATTTGTAAACTTAATGCGCCAACGCTTTATCAAATACATTGGAAATCATGCCGTTAGTGACCCCATCCTATTGATAGGGGACATTTATCCATCCACGGGTCACAAAACAATGGAATATATACTGCTGCAGCAGGAGGACCGCGCTGGTCTCTCCATATGGTCTCTCCAGTCGCTGCGGTCTCTCTTCGGTCCGCGCTGGTCTCAGTCTATGCGGTCTTTCTTCGGTCCGCGCTGGTCTCAGTCTATGCGGTCTCTCTTCGGTCCGCGCTGGTCTCAGTCTATGCGGTCTTTCCTCGGTCCGCGCTGGTCTCAGTCTATGCAGTCTTTCCTCGGTCCGCGCTGGTCTCAGTCTATGCGGTCTCTCCTCGGTCCGCGCTGGTCTCAGTCTATGCGGTGTCTCCTCGGTCCGCTCTGGTTTCTGTGTGCTGGTCTCTCCAGTCTCTCCTCGGGTCTGCATTGGTCTCAGTGCTGGATCTCCTCTCAGGGTCCAAAATACTTTTAGATTAATCTCATAACATTTTGAGATTCATTTTTAAATTAAAACATAATATATTTTTAAATCTCGTAACATTTTGAGATTAATCTCATCATTTTGCTAGTTCAACTTTATTCTCAAAATATTTCGACTTTTAAGTCAACATTTTATGACTTTATTCCTAGTCTGGCAAAAGAAAAAAGGGTGACTCTTTTGCTCCGTGTAACTCTTTGCTTTAGGCCTGTTGCTGTTTCCTCTGCCGTCTGCACACGGCCCTGCACTCCCTTATATGGGCATTAATGGGCGGTTACCTATGCTAAGTACCTATGCTAATGAAGCACCGGGCACGCGCGCTCTACTTACGAGGAGTTGGCATTCATCAATCTGAGAGAACAGCTGCGAACAATTCAGCGGCTTAAGAGCGCGTTGATGAATCCCACGTAGGGTCTTCTTAGAAATCTACTGAAGAACGACTTGAGCAGAAATGTAAGAAGTTTCTTACGAAGTTATTCGTGAATGAGGCCCATTGTCTTTGTTCAAACAACTCCTGCTGCGTTCAGAAACATGAGGGCTGTTGTCATGGCAATTGACAAAACTAAACATAATATTATTTTATCTTTAGAATGGGAGAAATTACCTCAACATCCTGTTCTGAATCTGAAGTCCATCACTATCAGGACATGTTTTCACACGACACAGTCCCTGATGCTGACGACGGGTTACGGCATAGAAAACATTGGGCCTCATTCACGAATAACTTCGTAAGAAACTTCTTAAATTTCTTCTCAAGTTGTTCTTAAGTAGATTTCTAAGAAGACCCTACGTGGGATTCATCAACGCGCTCGTAAGCCGCTGAATTGTTCGCAGCTGTTCTCTCAGATTGATGAATGCCAACTCCTCGTAAGTAGAGCGCGCATGCCCGGTGCTTCATTAGCATAGGTACTTAGCATAAATAACCGCCCACTAATGCCCATATAAGGGACTGCAGGGCCGTGTGCAGACGGCTGAGGAAACAGCAACACGCCTAAAGCAAAGAGTTACACGGAGCAAAAGAGTCACCCTTTTTTCTTCTTTTTCCAGACTGAGAATAAAGTTATAAAATGTTGACTTAAAAGTCGAAATATTATGATTATAAAGTCGAACTAGCAAAATTATGAGATTAATCTAAAAATATCAGATTAATCTCAAAATGTTACGAGCTTAATTTAAATATATATTATGTATTCATTTAAAAATGAATCTCAAAATGTTTTGAGATTAATCTCAAAACATTTTGAGATTAATCTCAAAATATTTTGGACCCTGGGAGGAGATCTAGCGCGGACCAGCGCTGAGACCAATGCGGAGAGAGACTGGAGTGACCAGCACACAGAAACCAGCGCGGACCTAGGAGAGACCGCATAGACTGGAGTGACCTGACTGGAGAGACCGGTGCGCAGAGACCAGCGCGGACCAAAGAGAGACCGCATGGACCAGGCTGGAGAGACCAGCGCGGACCGGTATGGATCCAGGAGCGTGCAGCACGGACCCGTATAGATCGATGGGAGAGACCAGTGCAGACCCGTCTAGATCCATGGGAGAGACCAGTGCAGACCCGTATAGATCCATGGGAGAGACCAGTGCAGACCCGTATAGATCCATAGGAGAGACCAGCGCAGAGACTCAGCGCGGACCCCGCAACCTCCTGCAGCAGCAGTATATATGCCGTTGTTCTGTGGCCCGTGGATAAAGAAATGCCCCCAATAAATAGGAAGGGGTCACTAATACACGGCAAGATTTCCAATTTATTTGATAAAGCGTTGGCACATTTCATTTCAAAATGAATAAAAAAATAGGCTAAATTACCATTAACAATTAAATAAATAAATACATATATAGATATGACACCGTAATGTTGTGTTTTATTGAACTTCGTAACACCAGCGTGCGAACATGTCGGCACTGAATGTGCGTAAGAGTGCTCCTGAGCATTCGTAGGATTTGTACTTACCCAAGAGAAATTCTGGTTACGAGAATTTCATGAATACCACAATCTTCGTAAAATCTTCGTAAGTAGGATCTACGCACAAATGTGTTCTTAAGTACGGTTTGTGAATGAGGCCCATTGACCTGCTGAGCTGCACAAAGTTAGATATTATAATCTCTAAGTTATTGTGTTGAGAGATAATAATTATTAACAAAACACTGTACATAATAACATGAAGTAACAAAGTAAGGAAGGCAAGACCAAGGAGACTGAAGCATGGTGCTAAACTTGTTCTTAGTAAATAAAACTACAGTAGAGAGAAACAAGAGAGAGAGACACAAGAGAGAGACTAGACAACCCACGAGTCCAGGCCGGGGGAGACCAGTCCACAGGTGCAGATAAAATAGCCTGGATTTAAGTGTCCCCATTATCACGCCATGAAACAGACAATGGGGCAGCGGGTGAATAGCAATGAACGGACTACTGATGAACTCTTTTTGATGACAGGTAGGGAAGTAGAGAGTAGAAGGAGCCACGGACCTATTATGTCACATCGCGGCAACCTATTGAGTCAAAATATGGGATAAGACGAGATCCTTTTGCTCTTTCTACAGTCGGTACGGTGTATAAATATGCGATAAAATCAAAAACTTTCACACAGTCGATTAGATTCATTTTACATGTTATAGTCCTACTTTGATCAAATACAAAGCCAGCAAGGATAAGAACAGGTTTTTGTGCCCGATATAAAACATTCCTGTGTTTATTGAAAGGCTCTCTCTCTCTCATGAGGTTATCGCTGCCTCACACAAAAGTAAAGCTGCGTATTTACCTGGATCCTGGTCTTTATTTGTTTGCTGCTGTGTCTGCGCTTCTAGACAGGGCCAGGCCAAAGTATTGGAGGGTCTGGATGCGGCGCAAAGAGAGAGAGGGACCAGAGAGAGAAAGGAGAAAGAGAGACACAAGAGTGACAAGAGAGAGAAAGACATGAAAGAGAGAGGAGAAAGAGAGACAGGAGAGAGAGACTCGAGAGAGAGACTAGAGAGAGAGAGAGAGAGGCAAGAAACAAGAGCGAGAGAGACAAGATCGAGAGAGACCAGAGGAGGAGAGAGAGCGACGGGAGAGAGAGGGACCAGAGGGAGCAAGAGACGAGAGCAAGAGACAAGGGTGAGAGAGAAAAGAGCGAGGGAGACCAGAGAGGGAGGAGGGAGAGAGACGAGAAAGCAAAGAGGGACGAGAGCGAGAGAGACCAGAGAGCGAGAGAGACCAGAGAGCGAGAGAGACCAGAGAGCGAGAGAGACCAGAGAGCGAGAGAGACCAGAGAGCGAGAGAGACCAGAGAGCGAGCGAGACCAGAGAGCGAGAGAGACCAGAAGGACCAGATAAAGAGGGCCACATACATGAATGAAATAGAGTTCCTTCGTTTGGACACAAAGAGAAAAAATAGCAGGTCGGTGCAATATATCAAAATAATTATATAAATGATCACAATATGAAGAAGGAAATATTGTGATAATCGTATTATTCACTATTTAAATAACAACAAACTCGTAAACTGCACAACTCTGTTTTGTATTTATTTGCTGCTGTGTCTGTGGTTGTGGACAGGGCCAGGCCAAAGTTTTCGCGCTGCTGGAGGGTCTGGACTCGGTGCCAGAGGACATCGAGGTCTACGTGGTCCTGGAGGGGTCCACTCTGCTGCATGTGACCCGGGCCCACAGTGAGGTCATGCTCTGCTTCATCGTACCAGGTGGGTTCATGGGCTGGGTCATCTCTGTACAGGGTTTTTCTACAAGATCAGAGAGAGAGACACGAGAGAAACCAGAAAAAGAGTGAGTGAGAGAAGAGAGGGAGAGACCTGTGAGAGAGACCAGAGCGTTCTCTGGGGGAGAAGAGAGATCAAAGAGAGACACAAGAAAGATGGACAAGAGAAAGAGAGAGACCAGAGAGAGAGACCAGAGAGAGAGACAAGAGAGAAACCAGAAAAAGACAAGAACGCGTGAGACAAGAGCGGGAGAGACCTGTGAGAGAGACCAGAGCGTTCTCTGGGGGAGAAGAGAGACCAAAGAGAGACACAAGAAAGATGGACAAGAGACAAGAGAAAGAGAGACTAGAGAGGGAGAGAGAGACCAGAGAACGACAAGGGGGAGAAGAGAGATCAAAGAGAGACACACGAAAGATGGACAAGAGAAAGAGAGAGACCAAAGAGAGACCCGAGACAGATGGACAAGAGACAGGAGAAAGAGAGAGACCAGAAAGAAACACCAGGGAGAAGAACCAGAAAGAGAGACCCGAGAGAGAGACCCGAGAGAGAGACCCGAGAGAGAGACCCGAGAGAGAGACCCGGGAGAGAGAGACCCGGGAGAGAAAGACCCGGGAGAGAAAGACCCGAGAGAGAGACCAGAGAACGACAAGGGGGAGAGAAAGAATGGAGAGAGACCACAGAGAGACCCGAAAAAGATGGACAAGAGAGAGAGACCAGAAAGAGAGACCCGTGAAGGATGGACAAGAGAGAGGGAGACAAGAGAGACTATAATTGATATAATTTAATACTAAGTACCCAAAGAAAGTAAAAAATTGTATTTAATATGAATAATAATGCATCAGTTCACTTTCTCATTCACTCCATACACAGTGGTGATAAACTACTGTTGTAGCCACAGCTGCCCTGGGGCACACTGACAGAAGCGAGGCAACCAGTCTGTGCCATCGGCCCCTATACAAATCTCACCCATGAAAAATTCTGATTTTCATCTTTCTTCCACAAAACCTTCAGACCAATATTGACACCAGCTTTCTGAGGAGCAGTCTGGAGGTCTGGAAAAGCAGCATCTTATCAGCTTCCTGTAACAGAACCACTGACAAATGTGTCGCCATTAGAGCTCAGCAGAGACCACAGCGGATGCATAGTGTTGTGTTGCATTATGGGAATTATCCTCTGACTATAAACATGTGCAATATGCTGATTAACAAGAGAAGAAACAGCCTCCAGTTTTGGCTTGTTTCAATATATATTCTTCTGGTAACAATATTATTTCACGCTATAAAACACTAAAGGACAAAAGAAATAGTCTTGTATAGTCAAAAAATGAAGGAGAAACATGAGAAATCTGGTGCTCTTCAAGGATTTGTGGGAAAATAATGTGGAAAACAAAATACACAATTTTTTTTGGCCTCTCGCAGTAAAACCACATCGGGAAAACTGCAGACAGAGCAGATAGCACACACCAGAGCTCTCACCAAACAAAGAGGATATTTCTATTGGGGCTAAATGGTCTCGTAATCGTCTTAATGGGCCAAAATAATGCATTTTTATTTCTTCTTTCAGCCGCTGAGGATCACTTTAATGTTGTGCAGTTACCAAGACTTCCGCTCAGATAGTGGCCACTTCAGATAATGACATTTCTGTATAACATTAGTATTCAGAGTAATGGGCGGCACTGTGGCTGAGTGGATAGCACTCTCGCCTCTCAGCAAGAAGGTCCTGGGTTTGAATCCCGGTTGGACCAGGGCCTTTCTGAGTGGAGTTTGCATGTTCTCCCCGTGTCTGCGTAGGTTTCCTCCGGGTGCTCTGGTTTCCCCTACCACTAAAAATATGTACAATAGGTCTGGCATCCTGTACTGGCCCCACTCCCAAAAATCACAATTGTAAACCGCTTTGAGACTCCGATGTGCAGTGAAAAGGCGGTATATAAATAAAGATTACTACTACTACTTACTACTAATCTATTAGCCTCTTTTATAATTCAATGTGATCCTAATATGTGCCATAACATAGGCCTGTTTATGATTGCTATAATACAAAAAAGTAAGTAAATATTTTTTTTTTTATTTCAAACATATTCAAACTATGAACAATAAACAAGATGCCAATTATAAACTATAAAACAGGGCATAAAATAAACAGAAATAAAGGCTTTATTGCTCCAACCCCTCTCACTGCAGTGTGACTGGGCGCTCCCTCAGAGATAGGGTGTGAGGCTCAGTCACATGGAAGGAGCTTGGAGTAGAGCCGCTGCACATCGTTAGGAACCGGTTGAGGTTGTTTGCCTCCTGGACGCCTCTCTGGGGAGGTGTTCCGGGCACGTCCCACCAGGAGGAGACAAGGGGAAGACCCAGGACACGTTGGAGGGACAGTGCCTCTCAGCTGGAAGTCTGGGCGCCTCTGCTTAGACTGCTGCCCCCGTGACCCGGCAACAGACAAAGCGGAAGAAAAAGACAGTATAGACCAGTGGTTCCCAAAGTGGGGGCCCCGACCCCCCGGGGGGTCGCGGGAACCCCTGGGGGGGTCGCAAGATGATTTCCACACAAACAAAAAAAAAAGATTTTTTTTTTTTGAGCAAATATAAAGCCCTTAAATATTTATTTAGCATTTGATTTGATTCAAAAGGACTACTTGTTAAATTGTGTTTGGAGACTATAATATATTTTAATAACGTTAGTAATTTTGTCCCAGTCATTGCAGCGTCAATCAAAATCATCACGTAACACAGCTCACATCATGCGCAGCGACAAAGCGTGTCCTGCTGTTGTTTGCTAAAACTAAAGGTGTTTGGAGGCTACAAATAAATAATACCTGCTTTAAAATGAAACGTGGTTAATATCCACAACAGAAAAACCCGGAGGGGGAGAAAAGTCACTTGTATCAGGGGTCAGGCTGATGGTGCGAAGAGAGGGAGAGAGGGCAGAGGAGGGAGAGAGGGCAGAGGAGGGAGAGAGGGCAGAGGAGGGAGAGAGGGCAAAGGAGGGAGAGAGGGCAGCGGAGGGAGAGAGGGCAGTGGAGGGAGAGAGGGCAAAGGAGGGAGGGAGGACAGCGGTAGAACAGCGCGTTAAAGAGGCCCGGCTTTTCGGAGTCAAAGGTAAAGAGGTCCGCACATTAAAAGCGAGTGGCCGGTTTATGCCTTTACTGACAGTAACTTTGGAAAGAGAAGCCGCGGGGATGAACCGCATAAAGTAACAGCAGAAAGTGGCCGCCCGCTTTTAATGTGCGGACCTCTTTACCGCTGACTCCGGAAAGCCGGCCCACTTTACCGCGGTAGGAGAACAGTGAGGGCGAGCCGCAAGAAATGCGCTCCACTTCTGCTGAGGAGGGAGCCCACCAAGCCCATCACTGTGTCACTACATGAGTAAAATATGCAAGCCTCCTTTTTTGGGCTGGACAGTGCAGCTCGGTAGTGGCGTGAGTCTCTAGAAAGCGTTACTCCGTATCAAGGAAATACTGTTGTGGGGGGGGGGTCGCGGGTTAGCAGGGCATTTATGATGGGGGTCGCGGGCTAAAAACTTTGGGAACCCCTGGTATAGACAATATCGACAGTATTCAGTAAAAAGGATAAAGTGGGTCAATTCAACTGCCTAAGGACCAAGACTATTTGTTTGGACAACCCGTTCTTGCTAGCATGTTACAATTCATGTAACATGCTAGCACGAACGCTATAGCAACTTAAAGCTGGGGTCCCTAAGTTTTGGCGCCGTGGCAAGAGCTCTAGTGTGTACCGTCTTCTCTGTCTGGTGCACACCTGGGTAGTCTTGCTCAGTTTTTCCAATTAGGTTTTACTGCAAATGGCCAATAAATTCTTGAATCTTTTCTCCACATTAATTCATTATATTCGTCTTAACAGAAAGAGTAAAATGTTGTGAACAAAACCAAACACATCCAGCTGTCTTCACCCTATTAGTACACATTTTATCTTTTGCGTACTTGTTAGAAAGAGCCCTATGAGTCACTATTTGACACTTTGGGCTGAGAATGACAGAGTAAGGGCTGTCTCTTTTTCACTATTCTGTCTTAAAAAGCTGTTGTGACAGAGGCCAAAAATACATTGACGTGAAAACTAGTGCTAGAACCGAAATGTTTTGAGAGACTGGAGCTATCGTTAGCATAGTAGCATCTTTTATGGATTTTGTTATAGTCCAATGTGTGGTCGTTTGAAGGTTAGCATCACAAACTTTGAAGCAGCCATTGAGAAAAGCCTTTATAATACACATTTTCTGAGATATTTTTATCTTCACCTTTTTTTTACTGTACTGTGATTATTTGTGCACTTTGAGTTGCTGGTATATGAATTGTGCTTTACAAATAAACTTGCCTTGCCTCTCTATAGAATACAGCATGTACTTCTATAATCTCCTCTGAGCACACAGGGCAGAGGTCTGGTTATTCAGTCATGAGATGCAGTAATTTGATGATCAATCTCAAAGTTCACAAAAGTAACATTTGGACCTTACGCAGAGCACATTACAGCAGATTCCTTTGCTTCTTTTTTTTCAGGACATAACTTGGCCGAGACGGTGTCGGTGCAGGCGTATTTGAGCTCCGAAAACACCGGTCTGACTTGGATCGGCGGAGCGTTGCTGGAATATGTGCAAGACGATGCCCAAGTGTGTGATGGGAGATTGTATAATAATAATAATTATACATTGGTTTTATGTAGTGATTTTTGGACACTCAAAGATGATTCACATGGCATTATTCTTTCACTGTCTGGTCTCTCTTTGGTCTCTCACTTTCTTTCTCTTGCTTCTTTCTGGTCTCTCCTTGGTCCCTCTGATCTCTCTCTGGTCCCTTGCTGGTCTCTGTCTCTTATGACCTGACCTCTCTCTTTGGTCTATCCCAGGTGTCTCTCTCTAGTCTCTCTCTGGTCTACCCCTCTAGTCTCTCTCTGGTCTACCTCTAGTCTCTCTCTGGTCTACCTCTCTAGTCTCTCTCTGGTCTACCTCTCTCATCTCTCTCTGGTCCACCTCTCTAGTCTCTCTCTGGTCCACCTCTCTAGTCTCTCTCTGGTCTACCTCTCTCATCTCTCTCTGGTCCACCTCTCTAGTCTCTCTCTGGTCCACCTCTCTAGTCTCTCTCTGGTCTACCTCTAGTCTCTCTCTGGTCTACCTCTCTCATCTCTCTCTGGTCTACCTCTAGTCTCTCTCTGGTCTACCTCTAGTCTCTCTCTGGTCTACCTCTAGTCTCTCTCTGGTCTACCTCTCTAGTCTCTCTCTGGTCTACCTCTCTAGTCTCTCTCTGGTCTACCTCTAGTCTCTCTCTAGTCTCTCTCTGGTCTACCTCTCTTGTCTCTCTCTGCTCTCTCTCTGTCTGTCTATCTACTGTATCTACCCCTGAATAAACAGTTATTTTCATAGGAATTTGCCGAGCACTTGATTATCCACGGACATCGCCTGAGAGCCACGGATCATGAGGATCTGAGGAGCCTCTTCAGCCTGGGTCCTGGATCTGGGACTTCCCGCTGGGCCCAGGACCGATGCATCGCTCTGGCCATGGCCAACCTGGACATCCCCCGAGGCTGGAATGTGCTGGGCGGCCAGAACAGAGAGGGTGAGAACTGTCTGGATATGACATTTAGAGGATTTAACTGTAGATCTGGCAACGTGGCACAACTTTCTCACCAGGTTTATCTCAAGCGTCAAAGATGAAAGAACAATCCAGACTTTACTCCTCCTGTGTCTGTTCCGTGCCGTCGGTCCCATTCTCCACGCTAGTGAGGGATTCATTCACTCTCTCTGGTCTCGCTCTAGTCTCTCTCACTAGTCTCTCTCTCTCTTTCTTTCTCTCTTTCTCTCTCTTATTTATCTCTCTCTGGTCTATATGGTCTCGCTCTGGTCTCTCTCTGGTCTCTGGTCTCTCTGGTCTCTCTCTGGTCTCACTCTTTGATCTTTTCTCTGTTCTGTCTCTGGTCTCTCTCTGGTCTCTCTGGTCTCTCTGGTCTCTCTCTGGTCTCACTCTTTGATCTTTTCTCTGTTCTGTCTCTGGTCTCTCTCTGGTCTCTCTCTGGTCTCTCTCTGGTCTCTCTCTAGTCTCTCTCTATGGTCTCTCTCTTGTCTCGCTCTTTGATCTTTTCTCTGTTCTGTCTCTGGTCTCTCTCTGGTCTCTCTCTGGTTTCTCTCTCTGGTGGTTAACTCCTTTTGCAGATTGAAACAATTGGATCAGAGTTTACCGTGATGTAGGAAATGCGCCGGAGTGAGTCGTTAGCATTTATCCTAGCATTAGCATTTAGCCTAGCCATCTCCTTTGCCGCGAACGGAGCCCGTGGGGAGTAGCGCCACAATATTTGCCAGCGATTACATTTGCTAAACATTCCTCTTGCTCCAGCTTCAATTTCTTGATAAAACCAGACTGGATTACTTTACTATCGAATTCTTCGCCAAACTACAACTCTAGGCGTCACCCACATCTAACTACAACACCCGCCTCCTGCGCTCGCTGATTGGCCGGATGGAATTCAATCGCTTTAATCGCAAACACAAGGACCAGACCCAGATGTTACTTGCAGGAAATTATGATTGAGCGGAGTGTACGAATGGATAAGGCCAGGCTATTCTCGCTCTGGTCTCGCTCTGGTCTTGCTCTGGTCTCGCTCTGGTCTTGCTCTTTGGTCTTTCTTTCTGGTCTCTCTCTGGTCTCTCTCTCCATGATAGTGAGGGATCGGAAGTGGACGTAGTCATATGTGATTTCTGCAGAATTCATCAAAGTTAATTAAGCAGCGAGTAATGCAGTTATGTGCTCCTGGAAATAACCCTGAGGGGAACTCAATCAATCTAAAGCTGTGTGTGTGTTTTTGTCCGTGTGTGTGTACTTGTGTGTGTGTGTACTTGTGTTTGCGTCTGTATGTGTGTGCGTGTATGCCTTTTGGTGTGTCTCTGTGCATGTGTGTATGTCTGTGTGAACGTGTGTCTGTGTATGGGTGTGCATGTGTCTGAATGTGTAAGTGTCTGTGCATTTGTATATATGTTTGTGTGTCTGTTTGTGTGTGTATGCGTGTATATAAGTGTGTTTGTATATGTGTGTGCATGTGTTTGTGTGTCCCTGTCTCTTTGTGTATCTGTGTGTGTGTTTGGTTCTGTACAGAGCAGCTTGTACTAATCTGTCCAGTGTTTATGTCAAACCACCTACATAAATAACAAACTAGATTTTGGTGAAACACAATTAGAGCCGTCTGTTCGGAGGTTGTGTCTCCGTCTCAATGTCTTCAGTTAATCTCATAACCTCATGACATCATCCTGATAAAGTAGAAAGACGCACACGGCCTCGGAACACACACTGAACGCTCATAGTTTACACACACAACACACTTTGGTCAGTATACACCAATATCTGCTTTTGTTGGTCTCTGGTCTCTCTCTGGTCTCTCTGGTCTCTCTTTAGCCTCTCTCTGGTTTCTCTCTCTGGTCTCTCTGGTCTCTCTTTAACCTCTCTCTAGTCTCTCTCTGGTCTCTCTCTCTGACCTCTCTCTCTGGTCTCTCTCTAGTCTCTCTCTGGTCTCTCTCTCTGACCTCTCTCTCTGGTCTCTCTCTGGTCTCTCTCTGACTTCTCTCTCTGGTCTCTGTCTCTAGTCTTGATCTCTGAAGCTAAGCAAAGATGCGTCTGGGTAGGACCGCAGATACCATGCATAGCCCCCACAGAGACCCTATAGGGAGACCACAAGGAGACCCCAGGGAGACCCCAGGGAGACCCCAGGGAGACCACAAGAAGATCCCCAAGGAGACCCCAGGGAGACCCCAGGGAGACCACAAGAAGATCCCCAGGGAGACCCCAAGGAGACCCACAGGGAGACTCACAGGGAGCCCACAGAGACCCCCCTTCTCCCCATCACAGAAACACATTTCCTGATCAGCGTGTTGATCCAGTTAGTCTTGAGGTCAGACTGCCGCCAACGCACAAACCCAAAGATCACAGCACTAGCTACAGACTGATAAAATATGTGAGTTAGCTTTAAAGTCTTGGTGTAAGTAACATGAGGTTAAATACTGTGTTAAACGGCTCACTCTTTATTGTCCTCTTTGTTGAATTGATTGATGGCCCCGAACTGGGTTAGTGGGGCAGGAGAGACTATAAAAGTGAAAATATTTTTGGCATGTAGGTTACTTACAATAAAAAACCTAATTTTTAACTATCAATCCTGCCTGTGTTTTTCTGTATTTAACATATTCTGATGTAGTGTATTTATTCATTTAGGGATAGACCTATTGAGATCTCTTATTTTTGAGGGGGTCCTTTGTTACAAGGATGGCTGACAATACAATATTATATAATTTAGCAAACAAAAGTACAGTTAGAAATTCATACGGTTATACATGATATACATGGTTTTTATCTTAATCCGAGCACATTCTGACTGTTAAAACTAGATTCTCCAATGGGACAAAGCCTTTTTTGTCATTTTTCGAGATATTTTGCTTTATTTTCTTATTCCAATGGAGACATTTCTTGTATCTTTTAACAACAAGGTCATTTTGCTTTGTCCCATTGGCAAATCTTGTTTTAAGGCAGTCAAAATGTGCTTTGACTGTATGCACATTTTGCAAAATTTTAACGCGCACGCACTCTCTCACTCACTCACTCACTCGCCTCCTCTCACTCACCCATTTGTCTTGCCGCTCATCTCCAACCCCTTCCACATCCACACTCTTCCAACTCCAACATTTTAACTCTGGATAGTTTAATGTTTTACCAAAGCATGTATTGGTATATTTGAAGTGTTTGCCCTGGCTTCACAGAGCACACCCCCAGAGAGTGTCCCCTGCACCTGGCCGTGCGTCTGGGTCTGTGTCGTTTGGCGGAGCTGCTCCTCTGTCAGCCGGGGGGGCTCATGGCCATCCGCCTGCCCAACGAGGAGGGGGTCTCTCCACTGCAGCTGGCACAGACCTCTGCCCACTCTGAGCTGCTGGAGCTCCTCACGCAGTAAGAAATCCTCTCATGACACCAAAGTAATGAACAATCTCTGCACACCTTATCTGAGGAATTCTTCTGACTTCTTAAGCCTATTGAAGAGTTTATGTGCTCTCGAAAACCTGAGCTGTTAGTGCGACCTGTCAAACACAAGAAGGTTTTAAGGGGAATTTGTATAAGATCAGGGATAGATCTGGAAATATTAAGTTTAACTCTTTAAGCTGGAGAACCTTTTTAGTCGTGGTTTCATTTAAAAAAAAAGAAAGTGTAACGTGTTTAAAAAAACCTCTACAATTTGTTTTCATCTTTGTAAAAACATTTGATCTTTACTGGTTTTATTGAGTACATAATACATAATCGTACATTATTTTGCCAAATGTAAAACTATTAAAACGTTTACACTTATCATTTTTTTCAAGATAGAGATTTTATACTTGTTATTGATGCTAGAGTTAGAGATTTTGTTTTATTTTAATTAGTACAGCTATTGTTCACTTAACTTGTGCCGTCTTTCCTACTGTTCTATAACTTGTGAGGCAACACTGAAATTTCCCCGCTGTGGGACGAATAAAGGATCTATTAATCTTAATATTAATCACATTGAAAAGAGTGAAGATGCAATCCTTGTCTGCACAACTAAACTGTTTTTAACCTGCATTTGAACACTGTCTGATTAGAAGCCTGTCTCACAATCCCAGGAAGGATTTTAGCTGAATGAATATGAAATACTGCCTCCATGTTTAGTCCTGACTCTGAGACCAGCAGGAGGCCAGTCCCTGTGCTCCTCTGACCCAGCAGGAGGCCAGTCCCTGTGCTCCTCTGACCCAGCAGGAGGCCAGTCCCTGTGCTCCTCTGACCCAGCAGGAGGCCAGTCCCTGTGCTCCTCTGACCCAGCAGGAGGCCAGTCCCTGTGCTCCTCAGATCTAGCAGGAGGCCAGTCCCTGTGCTCCTCAGAGTTGGTTCATATGTCACCAACATGTCACAGATGTACTTTTGTGCGAGGCCACAGATAGACACAGATAGACTTGTAAGAAACTGAGCTATTTTAAAGTCTACTCTCTGAGCCACAGGAAGCCAGAGCAGAAACCTGAGCTCTATTACTATTTTTAATGACGTTTTTGAAAAGTGTATGTGAAAACTAGTGATAGAACCAAACAGATTTTAGAGCTATGAACAAGTGAATTGTGAATTAATTTGATTACATGGTCAACTTTTGCGGTTTCTATATTAGGTACCCCAGGTTTAAGTTCATTTATTTAATTTTAATGTCAAACATACACTTTACGACTGTATTATTCAGTTCTATCTATATTTACTGCCCTGTTATGTTGTGACCCTGCAGCCCTCCCAACCCGCTGACCACGCCCCCAGCGGGACTGTCCCAGGTGTGGGCAGACCGCTCACGTCTGCTGCGCTTCTGTCACGACACCAGAAATCTGACTTTAACAGTTCGACAAAACCAGAAGTGGAGCTCAGAGAAACGAACACACGCAGACATCAGGCTTCTGCAGCGGCGGCTCCATGATGAGGGCTTCCTGAGAGAGGTGAGGGCCACACTGGTGACCAGAGAGAGACTAGTGAGAGAGGAGAGAGCAGAGCAGAGAGATAGGAGAGAGCTGAGCAGAGAGAGGAGAGAGACACTAGAGAGACAGAGAGAGGAGAGAGAGAAGAGAGACCAGTGAGAGAGGAGTGAGAGAGACCAGTGAGAGGAGAGAGCCGAGCAGAGAGAGGAGAGAGACCGGTGAGAGAGGAGAGACCAGTGAGAGAGCAGAAAGAGATAGGCCAGAGAGAGAGGAGTGAGGGAGAGCAGAGAGAGAGAGAGAGAGAGAGAGAGCAGTGAGAGAGAGAGCAGAGAAGAGAGGGACCAGAGAGAGCGACCACAGAGCAAAGAGAGAGACCAGGGAGAGACCAGGGAGAGACCAGGGAGAGACCAGGGAGAGACCAGGGAGAGACCAGGGAGAGACCAGGGAGAGACCAGGGAGAGACCAGGGAGAGACCAGGGAGAGACCAGGGAGAGACCAGGGAGAGACCAGGGAGAGACCAGGGAGAGACCAGAGTTGTCATAACATGGTTAATCAGAATTAATGTAATGCCATTGTATGTACTATTGTATCACTATGAATTTTCTTCTGCAAAAAGGTAAAAATCTTAAAAATCATCATCAGTATTTTATATGTTTCTGTGTCTCAGATTATGGCTTTAAAAAGAGAAACCGTGGGAACTGTCTTGGAGAAGGAGCAACTTGTGGATGATCCTGTAGAGAATGGTAAAAAACCAACACATTTATATCTTATGTTAAAACCATCGTCAACCATTTAAGGATTTTATTTTTGCTTTTGAAAGTTTACCTATTTAGACACATCCAAACTTTTTTACTGACCTGAAAATGCAAGAGCCAAATATGTGAATCTGCAAATATAAATAAAACTATTCTCTTTGATTATTATGTGTTTAAATGGAATGGGGCTCTATAAAAACACCAAAAAGCAAAGTAAGGGAAGTTTTTAACATTGTCAGAGAAGAAGCCGTTTCACATTTTCAAGACGACTTGTACAGATTGTAGCTGCTTAAATCTGAAATGCTGCCTCCCAATGTTTTGTACGCCTGTTTTAGTGCCAAACATATAAAGATTAACCCCTAAATACTTTCAAATGTACTGCCCGTAAAAGTTTAGTGAATACACATTTTTGACAAATTTTCAAAATGTCAATATATTTTTTTTAAAATACTGAATGGACTGTTGAAACATGTTACTATATTTTCATTAACATGTATTTTTTTCATAACAAGTGGTTTCTTTTCCGTTATTTTCAGTCCTATGTTGTTGCTATGGGTTTTTATGTAGGTGATGCTGCCCTCTTCTGTACAGTGTATGTACTGCATGTTTATCTGTAGCACAATTCAAACGCCAGGCAAAGTGCAGCTAAGAAAACAATTTTATTCCTCACTAAACTAATACTGACTTTGCTTTTGTAATTTATTTTTGCTGTAGATTTAATTCCTGAACCCAACAAAGAGAACTTGGCTCCATCGCAGACTGCGGGAGTCTTTGTGAGTTTCTTTCTTGTGAAATTATTATAACTTTAACCAGGATTTCATATTATTACAGACCAGCGTTTGTCACTAATGCTTTGTCTTTTTAGTACTACTGTACATATAATCTTTACCCTTTTCTGAACAAAAGGGAGTTATTCTTCATTAAAAAATATCTTTATGTCCATGATACAAATATAACATTTACCATTTCAAGCAGATAATCCAATCATAGAGCAGAATGATGAGTTTTCACATATACAATTGCCACATATTTGTTAAACTTAAAGCAGATACAAAAATAAGTACAGGCATTATATACAGAATTTCTACTTTTAGCTCAACCCCAGCAGGTGGATTGCATCAGTCATCAGCACTTAGGAGCTACATGTGTGATTGCGCTTGTAATGACTTTATCAGACCACTAAGATACCGTCCCTTTAAGATTGTTTTTATTTCGTACTTTTATTTTTGTCCCTGACTTTGCAGGACGATGACGAGCCGTTAATGTTTTCTTTAAATGAAGATGATGAAGACGATCAGCTGCAGTCGGACTCAGGTCAGGCTTTCATTTCTTTTACACCTTGTCCTCGGGCGACCACTTAAAAACCCAAAAGTGATTTACTGCAGTAGATGTATACTGCAGTCTTGTCTATCCCTATCCCTTAAGAATAATATGCAAAAACTCTGTCCACCATTTGCCTCTCTCTGGGTCCTCTCTGGTCTGGTCTCTCTGGTCTCTAAAGCCTAGCGTACATCGACAGAGAAACTGGGGACAACTAGTTGCAAGGCGGCTTTTGGCAACTGAGAGGAGATGGTGGGAGATGATCAGTTGCCGAAATCGGTCGATGTGCGCGCTCTTACAACTGGAGATGATCAGTCGGTCTCCAGTTCCAGTCAGTTGCTCGTGTTCTACTTTTCGGCAACTAGTTGTCCTCAGTTGCCCCGATGTGCGCGCTCCATGCGCCGCTCCAACAACGTGTGTGAATTGCGTGTATTGCGAGCCCGCAACAGTTTGTTGTCAGAAAACACACTGTAGTTGAGGCCAGTTGCTGTCGATGTACGCGCTGTTATTCAAGAGACTGGCCTGCGACTCAGAGTTGCCCGTTTTCGCCAGAATGTCGATGTGTGCGGGGCAGCAACTCAGAGGCGACGGATATAATCAGTTGCCAGTCCGATGTACGCTAGGCTTAACTGGCCTCTCTCTGGTCTCTCTCTGGTCTCTCTCTGGTCTCTCTCTGGTCTCTCTCTGGCCTCTCTCTGGTCTCTCTCTGGTCTCTCTCTGGTCTCTCTATGGTCTCTCTCTGGTCTCTCTCTGGTCTCTCTCTGGTCTCTCTCTGGTCTCTCTCTGGTCTCTCTCTGGTCTCTCTATGATCTCTCTCTCTGGTCTCTCTCTGGCCTCTCTCTGGTCTCTCTCTGGTCTCTCTATGATCTCTCTCTCTGGTCTCTCTCTGGCCTCTCTCTGGTCTCTCTCTGGCCTCTATCTGGCCTCTCTCTGGTATCTCTCTGGTATCTCTCTGGTATCTCTCTGGCCTCTCTCTGGCCTCTCTCTGGCCTCTCTCTGGTCTCTCTGGCCTCTCTATGATCTCTCTATGATCTCTCTATGGTCTCTCTCTGGTCTCTCTCTGGTCTCTCTCTGGTCTCTCTCTGGCCTCTCTATGATCTCTCTCTGGTCTCTCTCTGGTCTCTTTATGATCTCTCTCTGGTCTCTCTCTGGTCTCTATGATCTCTCTATGATCTCTCTCTGGTCTCTCTCTGGCCTCCCACTGGTCTCTCTGTTCTCTCTCTGGCCTCTCTCTGGTCTCTATGACAGGGATTAAAGAGTTCCGTCTAGGTGACGGATTTCCGTCAAATGAAATTGGTCTGGAAAAAAAAAAAAATATATATATAATGATAATAATACACACAATGAAATGATTGATTATAAAAATAATATATAGTAATACATATACGTGTGAATCTGTTTTTTATATATATATATATATATATCTCGATGTATAATAATAATTTGAATATAATTGTATTTATATGTATATAGAAATAATAAGTAATATAATCACGAGTGGGCCTTGAACGTGCCGTGGCCACAAGAGCGCTCCGCAAATGAATCAAGGCAATGGGACGTAGCTGAGCTCACGCGCAAATGAAGACGCGATGAAGTTAGCATTGGTAACACGGAGGTGAAAGTTTCTGGAAACTGCACGGAGCTTTTGAAAAGGAGAAGAGGAGGAAAATTGAATCTCGAACGGAGCAATAACAGCAGCAGATCCACGGACTGGTAAGCTGGGCGCGTAATAGACTAAAGGTAATTAACGTTTACCAAACGCAATGCTATTTACTTAACGGAATGTACAAAACAGACTTTGCTGCGACTGGGAATGGGGACAAACATGTCTTGGTGAGCTTTTGATATTGTCTTGTTTGCGATCTTCTTGCAAAACTCAGCGTGATGTAAAAGAGCCAATCAACGAGTCATGTTGCGAAAAGATGAAAGTGGCCGGTGCTTGTGCGTACTTTGCCATAAAAAATTGCATATATGGGAGTAATGAGAAAAAAAGTTTTGATTCGCCACCAGCTCAAAACTGCGCACAAGGCAGCTGTTTGTGCACTTTCCCACACTTCATCTTTACCTGGTGCATCAGCAACAACTGACACTAGGCTTGCTATGGCGGACCGTGTCTGTGGCTTTATCGCAGAAAATAACGTTCAGAATATCACTACCGCTGGTACATTTATTTAAATCATTTGCAGTTGATCGAAGTGCACTGTGCACTCAAACTTGATAGGGAAACCTTTTTCTTAAATATTGACGTGTCCACAAACAAATGTGGACAGAATTTTATCGTCCTTTTGCGATATTTTGACGAGGACAGAGCCAAAGTGTTGACGCTCCATATCGCCTCAAGTAAAGCTACTCTCACTAATATTCTGTCAAAAAGTTGACTCGTTGTTTGATCCACTTATATTTCATATCAAAATACACTGTATATCTGTGAAGAATTCATTTGAGCTGTATTCAATATACCAGTGTCTCCCAAAGTGGGTACTGCAGGGGGGCCGCGGGAGGTCATACAAAAAATAAAAAAATAATATAATTATTTAATGTTAAATTTATAATGTTTTGTTTGTAATATTAAAATATTTGTGTTCATTATTTGACTTGAATAATCCACTGTAATCATTTTTGTATTACAATGTTTGTAGCAGAGGCTATTTCCCCAAAATAAAATAACCAGAAGAGCCTATTCTTAATGTTGTCTTCTTGGTTATTATTTTGGGGGGCCACGCAGACCCGTCAGATTTTTAAGGGGGCCTCGGTGTTACTGAGTTTGGGAATGGCTGCAATATACAATCTATTATACAATAATATATTGTAATTAAAAATATAACTTGGTCTTGCATATTACTGTGATTTACATGTGATAAATTTCCATGCAAAAATGTTCAGTAAATTTTTTTTTTTTTGCTTTAACCCCTGCTCTATGATCTCTCTATGATCTCCCTCTGGTCTCTCTCTGGTCTCTCTCTGGTCTCTCTCTGGTCTCTCTCTGGTCTCTCTCTGGCCTCTCTCTGGCCTCTCTCTGGCCTCTCTCTGGCCTCTCTCTGATCTCTTGTCTGATCTCTCTCTCTGCTCCCTCTCTCGTCTTCCTCTCCCAAAACACATCGCCCCATTAATCAATTATTGAAGGATAAAGTCTTGGCCAAGTTTTTTCTTTTACTCCTGACTAGAATTGAGAGAGAGTAGAGTTAATATAAAAACATTTTTTTGGTTCTGGTGATGGATTAAGTGATTGCAGAAGCAGGAAACATGAGAGTGGAGTCGTCCAAACCTCAACTATAACACATAGCCATGAAGAATCATATTTAACACTTCTCTCTTTTCCCTTGTTAGGTTCATTAACTTTATGAATAATCACAGTAAGTGAAGATACAGTCCTTCAGATGTAAGCAGCAAAACAGAACTGTTTTCTAGAAGAAGCCGGTCTCACATTTTCAGCAAGTCCTGGGTCAAAAACATGCCAAAATGGTGCTGTGATTTTGTTTTTCGTTGAAACAAAACATCCCCACAGCGGTGGTCTCCAAGGGCGGCAACAGCAGATGATCCTGAAATACAAGCCTGTTGAGCTAATTATTTTCACTTCAGAGCTTAATAAGTAGCTAACTCGAGTCTCCTCAGTGATAAACGCGGAGCCAGAGTCCTCTACAGACATCAGAGAGACAGACTAGAGAGAGACTAGAGAGTATACATCAGAGAGACAGGACCCTGCAAGACCATAGACCACCAATAAGAAGTGAAAGATCAAAGTGCTTTGTTCAGACTGAGAACAGCATATCCTGATGTCCTGCATCTCAGCGAACGGTATTTTCTGCCAGAGGGAAGAAGCTGGAACATGGCTTTTCCAGAGGCCAGAAGAGTCTAGTCTAAGGGGCAGTTTACACAGAGACAATGTGTTAGTAAAACACTTTAGTCGGTTAGTTGGATGTCGGTTTCTATCAACCGTTCATACGAAGATTGTGTTCCAGGGGTGTCAAAACGTAAGTATTCAGATCCAGCCTGCAGAGTGGGACAGCTCAGATACGCTGCACAGCGGGGGCTCTCTTTCACACCCGCGAGAGGGAAAAATGTGTGAATTCTTTGCCTGATCTGACCCCCACCTTCCCGCTGCTCCCCGCACGAACAATTGGACATGCGCAGTAGCGGAGAACAAACGTAAACAACAATGGCGGCGGGTAAACTAACTCGCTACGTGTTCTTTGAGCGCGGCACAGAGGAGGATTGTACCCCTTCGTTCGTCCAAACGAGACCACGTGAAGCTATAGGTTCAGTTTCCATTTTCACAGCTGCTGTTAAATGCAGAATAATGTTGGTGAGTTCTTTCTCTCTGGTCTCACAGCTCACAGTCCTTTTTCAAAGTCCAGCACCTCTCTCTGGTCTCATTTTGGTCTGTCTCTGCTCTCTCTCTGTAGTCTCTGGTGTCTCTCTAGTCTCTCTCTGGTCTCACAGCTCACAGTCCTTTTCACAGCGGAGCACCTATCTCTGCTCTCTCTCTGTAGTATCTGGTCTCTCTCTGATCTCTCTCTCTGGTCTCTCTTTCCTTGTTTAGAGCTCTCCTTTCTCTGTCTTTGATGTCCCCAAACCACAGTCACAACCAACAAGCAATCTGTCAACTATGCAGCAATAAAAACAAACACAATCTTGGACTTTGTGGTGAATTCTCTAAATTTCCGCCGTAAGAAAAATCACAGACAAACTTTCTGAACAACCAGATCTCTCTTTCCTTCCTGCATGTGTTGCTTATTGCTTTTATAACCCTCTTTTTAACTGGAGTCAGGTGCCAAGAGCGTTGTCACGGATCGGCCTGTCCACTTCCCTCCGGGCGGAAGACGTGGTTTTGAGAGAAGAATATTGTGGTTTAATAATTGGCAATAGTTTGGTTGAGAGCAGAGCGATTCTGCATTGTAAGAACGCTGTGGTTTGGTCCTGACAGCGTTGGCCCCGGACCCTGTAATTATAACATATTGTGAACCGAGTCCTGCTTTTATCCTTTAGGCTTTCTCTTTGTGAGTTTGCGTTTCGATTTTGACTCTTTCTAAGCTGGCAACTT